ACGGCAGTGCCATCCAATAACTATGCAAATTAGGGCAATGCCATCCTACAATTATGCAAATTAGGCCAATATCACCACCAATTGAGAAAGTGATTATGTATTATGTATTAAGGTTATATCACTTGTTTTTATTTGAAATGAACAAAATCTGTGTTTCAGAGACAAGAAGGACAGCCAGCTGACAGAAAAAGAATTTTAGAACTGCGCTCAGTGGCTGAAGTAGTAGAGTTTTTGAAACCCAAGGAAGTAAAAGAAGAAGAAATGGGAGGGAGGACATCTGGATCGTTGGCATGGCGACTGAGCAGAGGAGAGACAACAAGGTCACAGAAGCAGGTGAGCCACTATGGTTTGCATATGATTTTTTTCTGTCAATACCATTACCGTAATTGTGTTATTTTTTTTATATTATCTTGATTTAACATTTTAAACTATTCTTATTTTCAAAGAATAATTATAATCACTGTTTAATGTGTATGAACGACCTGATTGTCAAAATATGTGAAAATTTGCACATATTCAAAACATGAAGCTACAGAAATAATCATTTTATGCAAACTAATATAGCCATATATGGTAATATTACTGACCGAACTTTGACCTTACTGCTTATATTCTTATCTACAGCATGAGCCATTCATATTCAAATTAACGCCTGCTGAAATAAAAAATAAGAACTTGCGGGTTACGTACTGCTGTAGCACAGACAAATACCTGAGAATATCTGACAATAACAGTGAGCAAAGTGGATGGAACAGCCAAGTATTTGAATATGCAAATATAGCTAGAAAAGAAGAACATGATTGGAAGATGGTATGGAATTATTTTAACTATTGATCAGCTTTCAATCTTTAAGTGTTTCAGTTCCAACTTGAAAATTTGATCCAAATTTGTAGTGAATTCAAAATTTCTGTAAGCTATTAAATTTTTGTTTTCAGAGATACATGCGGTTTTGTAATTTTAAGCAGTTTGTTGTGAAATTTTTTTGCAAAAGTCGCTGCGACTATCTGCCTGCTCAGGTGCCTGCATGCTAAATATGAGCCTTATTCACTGCTACATGTAATTGTCACAATGAAATCCATATTAAGTTCTTTGCTTGCAAAGTCATAAAGCTGTTCAGAGCATGTTTCTTTGTCAACAATATTTGAACAAATTCAGAAAATTTCTAATCAATGTTTCCAGGAATACAATGGTAATGAAAAAATGAAATTTCCAACCTTTTCTGATTTTGATTATAACTTTCAATTGTTCACAAGTATAAATAATGACCTAATTTGCAAAATAGATGCTAAGATTTTGTTGAGAATAAGAGAGCCATGTGATAGTGTTTCATTTTCTATCGTCATTGTCCTCTTTTCTCGTGACCTATGTTACCATGAAATTTGGAACAAAGATGTGATGACAATAGAGAAGCGGAACACTATTGGGGGTACAAAAACAAGTGTCATCTCATTTGCTTCAACAAGATCTGTAGACAGCATTTTATGAATAAGGTCAGTAGTTGTATACTGCTTTATTTTATGAAAGAGAAATTATTTTCATGTTTTGTGTGAGACAATTGTAATATGTTTAGCATTGAACATGTGCGAGCCTGAAAGGCTAAAGGTCATGGCAGTCGTAAGAATACAAATTATTAAACAACCCTTTTGAGCCATATGTACGTTGCTAAGTGTAGTATGGGTCCCATACCTTACACACTTTCTGAAATATTGCTGTTGTGAACACACTCAAAGTGATAATTTTTAGCACAAAATAAATTTTGTTGAAAAAATACCGATCTATTCTTGAGATATCACTAAAACTGTTCATCTATTCTTATTCTCCAGGTCTACTTGGCAAGGACACCAGATTGCAATAATGCTAGAATAAGCTGGAAATTTGACTTCTCTTGTTCTAGTCTAGTAGTTGACAAGATAACAATTCTCACTCGCAGTAAAACATATGAAAATGGTGTAGTGTCTTGGAAACTCTTGCAGTCCTGATGAGTGCGTGATGCTAGATGGTGGTAAGTTAAGGGGTGCATAATCCCTAGTTCAGTGAATTAAACGCTCACCTGTACCAATCGTAAATAGTGAAATGAATGCTGTGTCAGGCCCACAATCAGTCCTACCTTGGTCAAAATTGTTTTGCAAATAGCCAACAATTACTGAGCATTTCTGTAAACTCATCTTTTAATAGTGTACTATCAAGTAAACCGAATCACACATTACCGGCAATTCAAAAGCAGAATTTGGAATTATTAAAAATTCGTGTAGAGGCGGATAGGACTCAATTGCATCATCATGAATGTGAAATTTCAGCATTTAATCAAATAATATACACACATAGTTGAAAAACTAGACAGATTTTATATTTTTCATTGCACAATTTATGGTATCATGAAATTTCATGATGGGCAAGTAACCAAAATTACAGAAATCACAAATTCTGTGCAATCAAGCTTGTATGCTCACAGAAAACATAATTTTAGATCTTTTAAAACCACATGTGTGTTATATGCATAAAATCACACATACTAGTTGT